GTTCAAGGGCTTAAGTGTAACATCATTTTATCAACCTCTTACATTTTCAAATCTAACCTCGAGTATATTGCTTCTTGGTGAAATCAACCAAGTTAGGATAGGTTCGAGTGTCTTTTTTTGTCCTGCAAATGGTTAGTACTTTGAAGACTTATTTGGCACATTAAAACGTGGTGAGTCTCGGCATTCAAGGCCAATAATCTCCACCTTTTTTGTATTTTGACAAATAAGGCTTTCAAACAATGTAAACATTTGAGCAAGTATTCATAAGTACCTCACAAGTACGTTGAATTGAAACCCAATTTTGAAAAGAGCTCCCCCTGAGTTCATGCATTAAGGTAAAAAGAAAAACTCCCCATGAAAATGTGCATCTTAGAAAGCCTAACTACTTCTCCCCCTTTTGGCAACAATCAAAAAGACGGGGAAGGCATTCAAGTAGGAAAGGCAAATGTAACACTTAACCGAATTGAGTAACGAAACAAGGAGCTAAGCAACATTTTCCATTCAACAATAATGAGTGAAACGTTTCAAAACAATGTCAACATTCAACAAACATCAACATTCAATAGCATCCAATGCATATGTTGTCAAGGCATAAAAAACTGAGTTTCAACATAAACATTAATATTTGAGCAACACAACTACCCATAGCCACATATTCCGCTTTGGCGGTGGATAGGGCAACGAAATGTTGTTTCTTCAACTACCAAGACACTAGTGCATGACCTATAAATTGACATGTGCCACTTGTGCTTTTCCTATCAATACGACATCCTCCAAATTCAGCATCACTAAAACCTATCAAGCTTAAATTCGTATTCTTGGGATACCTTAAACCCATATTGGTTGTTCCTTTGACATAACGAATTATTCGCTTGACGGCATTTAGATGTGATTCTTTGGGTGATGATTTGGAAACGAGAACAAAGGCAAACATAAAACATGATGTCGGGTCTAAATGCAGTTAGGTAAAGCAAACTACCTATCATACCTCAATATTGCTTTTCACTTACCAATTCTCCACTTTCATCGCTATCGAGCTTTAAGGATGTGCTCATTGGAGTTGTAACGCCCCGAAACCTGGCCCAAAAGAATTAATTAAATTGTTAGAGCAATTGATTACGAATTGGGCCCAAAAAGGGGTTAAAATTATAATTTGGATTTTAAGCCCAACTTTTATGTCATCTCGTAGGAAATATTTTTGTGATCGCGTCGGTTCAGACGGCTCGCGAATCGGAGTTATGGAGCTCATGTTATGACCATTTAATCAGGTATTTTGGGTCCGAAGCCCAATCCTTTTTGGAATGGGACCATTAAATAAACCTAAACCTCAGCCACACAATCCTTATCTTTTTTTCGTTCGTTCGTTCTTCTTCTTTTCTTCTTCTTCTTCTTTTTCCTTCTTCTTCTTCTTCTTTCTTCTCCTTCTTCTTCTTTCTTCTTCGTGTTCCCCAGCCAGCATCGCCGCCGTGAGCCAGCCGCCGGTCGTCGTCGTTCAATTGGAGCAGTCGCCGCCCCGCGTCGCCAAGCCTCCAGCGCCGCCGCTGCTTCCTTCGCCAGTAGCCGCCGCCATCATCGCCGACAGGTGCAGCGCCGCCACGCCAAACGCCGGCGTCGCCGCTCATCGCCGTCGCCCGAGCCTCCAGCCGCCGTCGCCGAGCTTCCAGCTGTTGTTTCACCTTCACCGGAAGTCCGTCGCCTCCCCTACCGGCGACCACCATCATCGCCGTCGAGTCTAGCACCGATTGCCCTTCCCCAACCAGTCGCCGCCGCTGTTTTCCTGGCCGTCGATTTCAGCGCCACCAGTCGCTGCTCACCGCCGTCGAGCTGCCGCTACGCCACTGTCGCCGGCGTCCGTCACCGTCGCTGCATCCGGCCGCTGCCCCGAGTTGATATCGCCGGCAGATTAACCTCCACGCCGGATTGATTGGTCGATTTCGCATTTTGACTCGATTTGACCCGTTCGTTTGATTTCGTTGATTTGCCTTCGGTTCGAGCTATCGATTCGATTTCGGCGTAATCCAGGTCCGTACTATGAAGTTAATAGCATTTAGAATAGATTTAATGATTTGGATCGTTATATGTGTTTATGCTATAATTTGGCTAAATTGGTTAATTGAATTAAATTGATTATTTGAATTGAATTGTTGAGGATTGTGGATTAACTGAACAGGTTTGACTTTGACTTGGGTTAGGTCATGTTTGACTTAGACTTTGATTGGATATTCATTTGATGTAGGTTTGACCGAATGGTTAAATCCAAGACTTTAATGAATTAGTTAAGTTAATTAATTAATTCTAATCGGTGATTAAGGTCAATTGGTTTATTGTGTTGAACATAGAAACTGGCCATTGCTCGGGCGGCTGCAGGGCCTGGTCAGTGAGGTTAAGACGTGCGCACGAGGGTCTGTGATCTTGGGTTTGAGGCCATCGCCCGAGGGATCCTACCTCCACCGAATTGAGGCCATCTTCGGTATTACGGATTGAGGCTATCTCCGTCATAGGCATTAAATGTTAAGTGGTTTGACTTTGGTGAAAGTCTAAATTGCTTTGACCGGTGGTCAAAGAGTTCATGAGAAACCCGTAACACCTAAATCGTTTTGAAAAGAAAGAAAATAAGTTGACTGTTGGTCAACCGTCTAAAGAACCGAATGTAAAGTTGAATTGATTTTTATTAAAAGGATAAACATATGTACGATCTTAATTGTTGAATTATTATGTTTATTCTTGTGCTACAATGGAGTACCACTCAGCGTCAATGCTGAGCGGATATCGTTGTTTTCCTTTTTGCTGTCCGTAGGTGATCAGACAGATGAACCTAGAGCCGATCCCAGAGGGCATTGAGGAGGAGATGTAAGATGGCGTGGCTGTCTCTTTAATCTATTGATTATGCTTTATTTAAGTAACTTTAATGCTTATTACGTTTTCGGGCAAGATCCCAAGTTGTTTGACTTTAAAAAGGCTTCCGCATTATTTTAAATTACTTCGATGGATTTTTATATTTATTGATAGAACGTTTATTTTAAATTGTTTTGAAAATGTTGCAAATTCGGATACCAATTCAGTGGCACACCGGTCCGCTGTCTCACGGGTTTGGGTCATGCGGGTTGGGGTGTTACAGGAGTTGGGTATGTTTTTGAATCTTCAAGGTTAAATTTCATGACAAGCTCTTTGGCATACTTGGTTTGGTTGATGAAGATACCATCTTTAAGTTGCTTGATTTGAAGTCCTATGAAGAAATTTAATTCACACATCATGATTGTTTCAAATTCGCTTGTCATAATCCCTGAAAAATCGTTGCATAAGACTTCATTAGTTGATCCGAAAATGATATCATCTACGTAGATTTTCACGATGATAAGATCTTTTCCTTTTGTTTTGACAATAAGTGTGGAATCAATTTTTCCTTTTGCAAATCCGTGTGAGATTGGATGTTCAGTAAGCCGATCATACCAAGCTCTAGGAGCTTGTTTGAGTCCATAAAGAGCCTTATGGAGTTTAAAAACATGATTTGGAAAATCAGGATTTTCAAAACCTGGGGGCTGTTCAACGTAAACTTCTTCTTTTAACCATCCATTTAGAAAAGCACTTTTAACATCCATTTGAAAAAGTTTGAAGTTAAGAGCACTTGCAAAGGCTAATAACATTCTAATTGATTCTAGCCTAGCAACCAGAGCAAAAGTCTCATCATAGTCAAGTCCTTGAACTTGGCTATAGCCTTTAGCAACAAGTCAACTTTTATTAGTGACAATAACACCATTTTCATCAAGCTTGTTTCTAAAAACCCATTTGGTGCCCACAACAGGTCGGTTTATTGGTCTTTCGACTAATTCCCAAACCTTGTTGCGTTCGAATTGCTCTAGCTCTAGTTGCATGGAAATAATCCAATCACTATCTTTTAATGCATCTTCTACGTTCTTAGGTTCAAATTGACTAACGAACGCATAATATGCACAAAGATTGTAATTGTTCATAGTTTTAACTCCCTTTTAAATATCTCCGATGATATTGTCTCTTGGATGATTCTTCAAATGCTTGTATGCTTTTGGAAGTTCATTTTTCTCCTTTTCATCTTCTTGAACTGGAGTTTCTAAGATTTCTTCTTCCTCTTCTTCTTCATTTGGACATGCAATTACCTTACTCGACCCAAAGGGATCGGTTTCATCAAATTTCACATACATAGATTCTTCTACTTTATAATTTGATTTATTATATACCCTATAGGCTCTACTATTTGTTGAATAACCAAGAAAAATTCCTTCGTTTGATTTAGGCTCAAATTTACCTAAATGATCCTTGGTATTACAAATATAGCATTTACACCCCAAAAACTTTGAAATAGGCAATGTTTGGTTTTCTACCTTTTCAAAGTTCGTAAAGAGTCTTTTGAATAATAGGCCTATGTAATACCTGGTTAAGAATGTAGCATGCTGCGTTGACCACTTCTCCCCAAAAATATTGAGGTAAGTTATGTTCATTCAACATGGTCTTTGACATTTCTTGCAACGTCTTATTCTTCCTCTCAACAACTCCATTTTGTTGAGGTGTTCTAGGAGGCGAAAAGTTGTGGGAGATACCGTGTTCATCACAATATGTCTCAAAGTTGGTATTCCAGTATTCTCCTGCTCTATCACTATTAATAGAGGTTAATTCATAACCTTTCTCGTTTTGAATTCTCTTGCACAACTTAACAAACGCATTAAACGCATCATCTTTATTCGCAAGTAATATAGCCCAAGTGTAACGAGAAAAGTGAAAGGTAACCATGCAAGGATAGGCAGCGGAATACAAAATTTTAACATCCTAACATGATTATCTTGCCCAGAATCACGTACTAAAACTTATAGTAAATAAGAAATTCATACCTTTCTCCGTAAGCGGTAAAAACGAAGAAGTCGTAGGAAGAGCGTTGAAAGTGCAAACGTAACCGTTCAAGCCTCCGGTCTCCAACTTTGACACACGAACAACGCTGGAGTCTACCACAATCTTTATGCTAGTAAAGATTATAGTAGTATAAAATATAAAGATTAAAATTTGGGATAATAATAATCTTGTATATTTCTATAGAAAATATTTCTAATAATATTTAGAAAATATTATAGATATTTTCTATACACAAAATGATATTAATGGAACCAAACTAATATATTCTCTCTCTTGAAATGGTATGGCCAAATCTCCCATTACCCAAAAACAAACTCTAATTTGCAAATGGAGTGTTATATTTAAATAAAACAAAGATGTTTAATTAATTTTGTCATTAGCTAAATGACAAAACAATTAGCCCACTAGTTTATCAATCAAGGAAAGTTAAAACAAATTTGTCAAACCTTTAATTGATATGGTCGTATGTTTTGATTTGAGAAGGATTTTCAAAATTCTTCTCCACTTAAATGTTCAAACTGTATTTTATTTGACACCAAAAATTAATATAAAATTAATTTTAAATCAAATAAAAATACCCATATCATTTTTAAACAAGTATACAAATATACTTTAAATAGTTTATGTCAAGATAATTATTTTCATAATTAAAATGAAAAACCAAAATAAAATATTCAATATAATATATATATATATATATATATATATATATATATATTAATCGGCATATATATAATATATATAACTGAATATATATATATATATATATATACACACACACATATATATATATAATATTATATTCCAAAATATTTTACTTTACTATTTTTACAAATATACAAATTACTTATTATCCCATTGTTTAATCCTACTCCTTAAATTGTCCAAAGTGTGTGACCCGTATAGGCACTTATAAAGCTGGCCATAGTATTGGCTTTGCACCAATACTATAAACAATAAGCGGTATCTAGCAACACATTATTGCCCCCAGATTATAAGTTAAGACGTTTGCACCATCAAAACCTTTCCACGACTCAGACTCCGTGTAACTGTATCCCTTTGTCTCAATGTCTAGACTTAATGCAAGGGATTAATAAAATCCAGCTTGTATCCATTAAGTCATTCACTGATTTATCAAGTCTGACTAATCGGAACAGACGTCATAAAAAACATCTCAGCATGGCCATGCAATATCCTCAGTCATAACTTATCAGTGGGCCCCATAAGACATTAATCTCTTTAAAAAGAGTAGTGACAAATCCTATGTACGTAATCTTTGTTTCTGAATACGCGCTGCGGCATACCCAAAACAAAGCCTGTATACCATCCTTATTTCATGTGGCTTAGGACAATGCATCAAAGTATGCGGGTTCACATATGCAGAAAACATAATACTTCAAGTCGAAGGATAGTTACACCCGTGGTCGCGCTAAAGATGCTTAGAGCATGAACTAAAAGTTCAAGCCACATCTTTAGGATGGGTCAGTCCGGCATCCTATTATCTCCAGATAATATCTGCCCATGTGCGGATGCGAACACACTGTCATTGACAATGAGACTAAGTCAAACATCCAACACACACTAGTCTCACATGCATTAACGATATCCCACTCTCGTTAATACTCGACTATGGACATTCAGATAAATATTTATTTGAAGATGTTAGTCTCATCAGTAGAATAACACTATCTGATAAACATCTTTAAATAGAAATCTAGGAATATAATATTCGTTTACATTAGCATGAGATGTGTAAACATATTATATCTTCCTATACATGATAGGATAACGATGAACAGTTGGCCATCAAGGCACAACTCCAACAAAAAGTCATCTACCATGACAAATGTAAAACTAGCTCCACCTATGCTTTGAACGCCCACGGGCCCAAATAAATCCATATGTAATAGTTCAAGTGGCCTTGATGTTAAAACCATTTTTATGGGTTTAAATGTTACTTTGTGTTGTTTCCCAAGTGAGCATGCATCACAAAAATGGGAAGAAGGAATGCTCATCTTAGGAAGCCCAACAACAAGTTCTTTTGAATAAAGCTTTTCCAAAATATCATAGCTAGCATGTCCTAATCTACGATGCCATAGAGTTGAAAATTCAAGTGAAGTAGTATGACAAGTGATTTTTGATTTGCGTAAGTCGTTGGAGTTAAACTTATATAAGTTTCCATCTCTTTTAGCCTCCAAAATGATTTCATCCTTGTTTTGGCCATACAAAACGCAAGAATTTGCATTAAACTTAATTTTGTGGCCATTGTCACAAAGTGGATTTATGCTAATTAAGTTAAATTTTAAGCCATCAACAAGATAAACATCATTTATTGAAAAATCACTTGAAATACAAATCGTACTTTTACCAATGACTTTCTTCTAGGATTTGTCTCCAAGGGTCACGTGTCCATGGCTTTTCTCCTTGATGTTTGGGAACTTTGTCCTTGTCCCGGTCATATGCCTCGAACACCCGCTATCAACTATCTAAGTGGTGTTTTTCACCTAGTTAAAATGGAATTAATTTTTGACTTAGGTTTCGGGTTCCAATCGACATACACTCGGTGTCGGTAGATGGGTTTTATCTTGGTCGATTCCGGGAGAGGTACATGCTTCCTCTTTATAGGTTTGTTATAAAAGAAATAATATCCGCCATCATTTCTTTTACTTTCCTGCAACGCAAGTTTCTTTTGATATCCAATTCTCTTGGATTCCGACTGGTTAGACCCCTTCTTGACCCATTTTAGTTTATGCATTTCAACTAAACTTTTATTGGGACAATTTGTCACAATGTGATTAATTTTCATGCAGTAGTGGAAAGCCTTTAATTTTGATTTAGAAGTTGAGGCTTGGTTTGATGAAATATTCTTTGGAGTATTAAAATGGTTTTTAGCCATGCTCATCAAATTTATGGGTTGACCATAACCAATACCTTCTTTCATTAGTTTTGGTTGGTTATCCCATTCCTTTCTTGAGTTGTAGCTATTATAAAACATTTCTAAAGCCCCTTGTTTGGCTTTGTCCTTTTCTTTAATTAAAATATCAATTTTCTTTTGAAATTCTTCATTTTGGTTTTGAAGCTTCTCAAGATTTAGTTTTAAATCTCTGTTTTCATCTCGAGAAGTTTCAAGAGCCACTTTGAGTACCCTTTTCTCCCTAATAGTTCGAAAAAGGTCCTCTTGGAATTCATCAAATGCTTGCCTTAGTTCTTCAAAAGTAAATTGACTTTCAAAGGAAGTAAAAAAGTTTTGGGAACTAACCTCTTCTTCATCTTTGAAGCCATGAAGCTAGCATTTTCCTTTTCCTCTTGGCTTTGGTCACTTTCACTTTCGTCTGGATTTAAGTCGTCCCAAGTGACCTTTAATGCCTTCTTTTCCCCCTTTTTGAGATCCTCTTTCTTTTGAGTTTAGGACATTCAGGTTTGATATGTCCTATACTTCCATATTCATAACAACTAATTTGGTTAGTTTTACCTTTCTTCGGTGGAAATCTTCTTGATGATTCGCCTTTGTTCCATTTGATGAATTTCTTGTATCTTTTGAACATGGCGAGTTCTTTATCGCTTTCTCCGTCGCTTTCATATTTTTCATCAAGGTAACATGTAAATTATTATTACCTATATCAAACGAATACATCAATGTCAAATGCTTAACCATGATAATGGTTACGTGCATACCTACAAACTAAGGAGTTACACTCCACACGGGTTACAAGAGCAAATACAAATACAAGTACAACAAAGTTACACGCAAAGTACTTCAAGGTTTACAAATTAACAGGTTACAACAACATCACAACAATTTCAGATTTCAGGGTGTCCTTAACACATAGACACTGGCATCAAAAGGTGGTGCAATTTCTTCATGGGGTACACCACACTTCATCACTTTCAGATTAGTGCACGTACAGCAGGTCACTCGAGTTATCAAAGGTCTGATCATCACACACACACAAGGTCTAGGCTAATCACAAAGGCCATCCTCATGGTTAAGCAGGTAACATCAATGTATAGGAATAGCAACATGGTCCACCAAAGGGTAAGCATAGGAATCACAACAGAAGAACTCCAATGTTGCAAGAGAAAACTGGTAGGGTCATCAGCATCAACGCGTATACAGGAGCAAGTAAGATCATCACAGGCCATACGACAACAATTAAAATCTTCATTAAGTGGACTGGTACAAGAGAGCTTGCCAAGATTCCAGACATATCTCCCACAGCCATATTTCAATGGTATAGGCAGAGGTTCATCAGCAGCAGCATCAGCAAATCAGTTCACAAAGAGGGTTGAGGACCAGGCAGGGTCCTAAAACCATCAATCCAAGCTATCTGGGTACAAATCCAAGAGATGGCAGGCCGTCAAAGATTTCCATAAAGAGTAGTTTCTAACAAAGGTCAGAATGATCAAAGTTCCAAGGTACAAACACAATTCACATCCATCAATCAAATCCAGATCAAAGTCAAAACTAGGATATAGTCCAAGCTATCCTAACCCAAGTTGAAGGAAACTGGGTTAGTTTAGTTGGTCAAAATCCAGGAAAACAGCAAGGAGAGAGGAGAAAGGAACAAAGAGAGAAGGGGGGGGGGAGAAGTAAACAGAAGAAGAGAAGGGGAAAGAGGGAAGACAAAGGGAAGGAGAGGTGGTGAGACCACCCAAACCAGGACCCAATCCCACTTCTAACCACCCAAAAGGGGTAGGAAGAAGTAAGTTTGTTTCCACAGCCAAAACTCTACCCAAAAAACTACCCAGGATCCAGGCCACTCTACTTTAGCCCAATCAGAAGAAAGAGTTGGGTTAATTTAGTGTGGCATGGTTCCAAGAGAGGACAAAGTGAGGGAGAAAGGAAGGAAAATGAGAAAAGAAGGGGGGAGAGAGGAAGAAGGAAGGGAAAGAGGGTAAACCCTCAACAAATCCAGGACCCTAAAGTCTCTCTATACATCAAGAAAGGATGCACAGAGTTAAATTTGTTTCCTACCACCCTAATGGCAAGCCATCAAGGTCCCCCAAGGGGCAGGTATTAAAGACCTGAACCCCACCCACCAAAGAGCCCACAACCCAGGACCCACATTATTCTTCACATACCCCCAAATTATTCTCAACCTCCACCCAACAAAGCATCAACACCCAAGGGCACCAACCCCCTAAATGAAGCACCAACCACCTCTAAGTCAAAGTGGTTAGGCTAGAGGGGAACAACCTAAACATAATCTTGTACATGCTCAACTTGATCATATAAATTATCTTCTGAACATCCACAGCATGATTATCAAATTGCACACTGTTCCTCATCTTCCAGATGTGGTAAATGACACTCATAGTTCCCAATCTACAAAACTTCTTCCTGTTGTTGTGTCCAGTATGCTGCCTCCTTAGACACTTGATGGCTCTTTTTATTCTGGAGAGTGAAGCATCAATGTTAAGCCACTACTTGATCCCATTCCAAACCTGTGAGCTGATATGGCAAGAGAAGAAAAGGTGCTCAGAGGTTTCCAGTTCCATATGACAAAGACTACAGTTCCTAGTTTCTATTTCCACAAAGGGTAGGTTAACTTTGGTGGGTAGGTGCCTACGCAAAGCTATCCAGTGGTGAATGAAAATCTAGAGGGAATGTAGGCCTGCCAGAAGAACTTCATCCATGGCTTAATAGGGTTTCTATTTCTGAGGTTATCATAAGCCTTGGAGGTGTTAAAGGCCCTATTGTGACACAGACCCTGCATGTACTCTTCAATGTTATCAAGCCCCCCACATTTCTTAATCATGGTGTCTCTAGCAATGGACAACCTTTTGAAGAGGTGTGAATCATCCTTCTTAGGTGTCTAGCTCAAGATCTCTCTACCTCTAAGATAAACTGAATGGACCCATTTTACCCACAGTGTATCCTTCCTAGAGGCAATATTCCAAAGGTTCTTGACCAGAAAAGCTTGGTTCCAGGTGTAGGAATCTCTAAGTCCCAATCCTCCTTCTTCAGTGGGCTTACAAATATCAGACCAAGCAACCTTTAAAAATTTACTTCCCCAAAGAAAAGTTCTGCAAATAGTAGTAATCCTGTTAAGCACAGACTTGTGGACTGAAAAGGCTTGAAGCCAAAAACTCTGAATTCCTTGTATGACACTCTTAATCAGCTCCACTTTCCCTACCCGGGACAATGTCTTGGAATTCCATCTATGTATATTCTGCTCCACTTTAGCAATAAGGGGGGCAAAGTCCCTTTCAGAAGCCCTTTGAGATGTGAGTGGTAAGCCCAGGTATCTGACAGGTAGTTTACCTACAGGGAATTGCACCACGTTCAAAATATCATCTTTATTGTCCTTTATTTCACCTGCAAGATAAATGTTAGACTTATGTGGGTTAACATGAAGTCCAGAAACTTGAGAGAAGTGTCTAAAAGCATCTGCCAAGACTGTAACCGAGGTGACGTCTCCTCTAGAGAAAAGCATCAAATCATCAGAAAAGGCAATATGGGTTATCTTCTCAGTAGCACAAAGCAAGTGATAGCTGAATTTCCTTTGTTTGACCATCATCTTCATCAATCTAGAGAAATATTCCATACAAAAAAAAAAGAAACAGGGTGGGTGCCATGGGATCCCCCTGCCTAATGCCTCTCTTGCATTGAATAAACCCATGAAGTCCACCATTGATTGCCAAGGAGAAGGATGCAGTGGTAACACATTCCATAACCCATCTCACAAATATCCACCTTCATCATGCACCTGGGTGAGGTTCTCTTCCTGGCATATCTCCTAACCAACTGTTGTGCAAGCATTACATTGTTCATCAGGTTCCTACCCCCAACAAAGGCAGATTGAGCTTTGTCAATGAGTCCAGGCTGAAGAGGACTTATCCTGTTGGACAGAATTTTGGTAATGACTTTGTATGTCACATTAGAACATGAAATAGGTCCAAAGTCCTTCACTCCAGGGTTTTGCCTGACTTTAGGTATCAAAGCTACACTGGCATGGTTAATTTGCTTTAACAGTTTTCCACTCTTGAAAAATTCAGAGACAACCTCAAACAGGTTTTGCCCCACAACATTCCATTTAGTTTTCTAAAAAGCAGATGTAAACCCATCAGGTCCAGGTGCCTTATCATTCCCAATGCTGAAGAGTGCTTCCTTAACCTCAGCAATATGCACATCCTTGACCAGGTTAAGTGCTTGCTCAGGGGAGATAAGCAATCCTTCCTGAAACACCTCCCTGTTGAGTGGGGCAACCCCTGGGTTACTCCCAAAAAGCTCCTTGTAGTAATCAGTAAAAAGGCCAGCAATCTCCTCCAAGGATGTGGTGATCCCTCCATGTTCTGTATAAATGAAAGGAATGGATTTGGTGGTGTTCTGCTTCCTCATCAAAGCATGGAAGTACTTGGTGCATTTATCCCCCTCAAGAATCAAATCAGTTTTAACCTTCTACTGGAAGAAGGCTCTCTCAGCCTCTAAATAAAAACTTGCCTTTTTCCTTAGCATATCACTCTGTTTTAAAAGGTTTTGATTATGAGGTTGAAGTAACAAGTCCTTCATGATAGCAGTGTATTCCTTCCTAGCCTCTTTTGCCCTCTGTAATATGTGACCAAATTCTTGCTTGTTGAGCTGCTTTAGAGGTTGTTTTAGCATCTTCAATTTTTTGCAAAGTCTAAACTGCCTGGTACCCTCCACCGAAATGCTCCAGTTGTTCTATAACAGACCATCAAAGGATTGATGGTTTAACCACATATTGAAGAATTTGAATGGTCTGGTTCCCTTGGTGGTGCTGTTAATGATATTCAGAATCACATGACAATGATCAGATTCTACTTGCATATCACCAAATTCTGCCCAGCACTCCCAGTTAATGGCTTCCCAATCATGATTCACCAAAACCCAGTCCAACTTAGCCCATTTGTCCCCTTTGTTCCAAGTATAATGTTGTCCAACAGATTTGGCATCTATTAGGTCATTATTGACTCTGAATTGTAAGAGATCATTCATGGAATAAGCTGAATGGGTATGACAGTTTAATCTTTCATCAGAGGCAGCAACACAGTTAAAGTCTCCCATGATTGCCCAGGGTATTTGCAGATTCCCAGCAATAGTTGACAGATTATCCCACAAATTCCTCCAGATACTGACATTATACAAAGCATAGACAAAAGAAATAGCAAAACTTTTTTGTGTGATCAAGCATTGAGCCTCACAGTGAATAAACTGGTCAGTAGTAGCCTTGACAATACAATTAACAAAATCAGAATTCCAAAAGATGGCCATTCTCCCTCCCTCAGTCATATCAAAATTATCAGCAAAATTCCAATTGGGAAGTTTATTGTAAGCAAAAAGTTTAATTTTGGCCATAGTCATCTTGGTTTCAAGGATGCAGCAAAAATGGACCCCAAGATCATGAATGTATTTACACAAAAAATGCTATTTAGAGGCCCTATTTAGGCCTCTAATGTTCCAGCAAAGTACCTTCATCTGCGGTTAGGCCCAAAGGCCCTCCCTCTACCTTTGTTGGCACCCCCCTTGTTGTTTCCATGGTACTGATTCCCTCCAGCCCTGCCACTGCTTTTAGTATTAACAGCAGGCTTATCCACTCTCTTATCCCCAATGTCTGGAGGCTCTTTAAGGTGTGACTCCTTAGCTGGAATATTGGTAAGGGTTCCCACCCCAGTACTAACAAGAGTGTCACCATCATTGGGGTCTTTGACAGCAAAAGAAGGTGCTGGTTCATCAACATCCTTAGATTTCTCGAGTATCTCATCTTCCACAACTTTCTTTCCTTTGTTCTCATCTAGTGGTTGGGTTTCATTTACCAAGGGTACTTTAGAAGCTGGCTTCTTCCCAGTTTCCTTAGTGTTCTTGGGGTTATGTGTTTTATTTGTACCCTTGGCTTTAGCTTCAGCTATCTTGGCCTCTTTGAGAGCCTCAAGTCTGGCTAATTCCTCCAATCTCTCCTTCTCCAAGAATTATCTTCTGTGGATTTCATGCAGTGCCTTGCAATCAAAAGGGTTGTGACCAAACGCTTCACAATGATAGCAGTACTCAGGCATATGCTCATATTCAACCTTCTGTGTAAAGCTCCCCTCATCATATGCAACTTTAACACACAAGGGAGGTTTCACAGATAGGTCCATGTTGATCATTACTCTACAGTAGTTCACCTTCCTATAATCTCCATCAGCATTGGGTTCCATGGAAGTGTCAAATCTGGAAGCAGATGTGTAAGTCACTCCATCAGAGTATAGAGGTGTTCCAAGTTTGGAAGCAAGGAAGGAGAGGCCTAAAGGGTTCCAGAATCCCATGGGAACATCCAGGAATTTGACCCATACTGGCATAGTAGCAAAAGATTTGCAGTTCCACATGAAGTCCTTTTCTAGAATCTTGAACATCAGTTTTTTCCTGTTAATTGTCAGCTCCTCTACTGGTTTGGTCATGACTGCCTGCCTGTGTTCATCCGTCCAAAATTTAAAGACTATCCATCCCCTCTTATGTGGGAGGATTTCACAAGGAACACCCCAGGTGTTCACCATCTTCTGAATAGCCTTGAGCCCAGGGAATTTTCTTGCAAAGCACCCCACAAGGCAGTACCCCCAAATATCTTCAACAGGTAGGATAGCTTCCTTTGGAATGAAAACCTCTTCAGTATTAGGTAAATCAACTTTGAAGAGCTGCATTCCTTGCTTCTCTCCCCTGTTATTCTTGAGGAAGTCAGCAAAAGTTTTTTTACGAGGTGGCTCACGCATTTTCTCAAACACCTTGGGGGTTTCCTGGTTATGTTCAAGTAGTTTGTCCTTCAAATCCTTCTCCACAGCTTCTTCATCAATAGAACGAGTAACCGATTTGTTATCAGATGATGTATCATCTTCCCCATCCTTTGCAATAGCATTTTCACAATCAATCATATCATTAACAAATTCATTATCATCAAAGGAGTTCTCATAAACCACAATGTCCGCAGTGACTTCATCATCCACCTTCAACTCCGGAAGCTTCTTCTTCGGGGGAGCTGGGGGGTGTGGGCTCTTTCCTACTCTTCCTCCCCATCACAACTCAAGAGAAAGCATACCTGAATTTGGTGTCCTTGTCTTCATCATGGGTGGCTTCTAGGAGATCCCATGCTTCCTTAGCGGATCTACATGAACTTACCCTAGAAAACTCGTCTTGACCCAAGGCACAAAATAGAACGTTTAATGCTTTGGCATTTAGCGAGAGTGTCTTTTTGTCCTCGGTCGTGAGCTTTTCCATGGGTGTTGGAACTTGTGTTGCACCTACAGTGGTCATAGGAAAAAATTGGCCATTAGTAGTAACAATCCATAAGTCAAAATCGATGGATTGAATGAAGTTCTCCATTCTCATTTTCCAATAACTGTAGTTATCACTATTGAAGAATGGTGGCTTGGTTATGCTTTGGAAATTCATGGAATCCATGTGTCGTGTAAGTGGTTTTCAAAAAGTGATTTTGAAAAAGAGAGAAAATCCTGCTCTGATACCAATTGAAAGTCGGTTTACACCCTAAGAGGGGGGTGAATTAGGGTATTTGAAAGTTTTTCGTAAAAACAAAAACTTAGGCGCAAAGTAGTAGCTGAAAAAGAGCAAGAAAAATAAAAAAGAGAAAAGTACGACACAATCGATTTTATACTGGTTCGGAAACTCCCTACACCAGTACCTCGAGGCTCCTCCTCAGGCATTTAACCTCCACTAACTTGTTTGGCTTCACTAAGAAGACTCGAACGAGGTTTGGGAAACAACTCTTGCCAATAAGCAAATGAGATTTTATACCAGATATCTCAATTGTTTACAACCGAAGATTTAGAGGCTATCTTCAACCTTACAATGAGGATATAAAGTCTATCCACACCTCTTACAAAGTAATGAAAAGTATTTGTTGCTTCTCTACAAAAGTAATAGATAATATGATTGGGTAGAAGAAGAATGAAAATATAAAAACAAAAACAATTTCCTATGAGCAAGATAAGAAAATGAAACACAAAAGCCCTTGGTGTGTGAGTGTTAAAGATGTAAAGATCAAAGAATGAGCTTGTAGAATGTAATGTATGTTTAGGAGTGTTGTTGTCTGTTTAGGAGAGGCTTAGGAGGGGTATTTATAGTGTTTAAGAATTTTAAAATAGGTTTGAACTATTAAAGAGACGTCGGTAGACAATTTAGGTTGATTGGGATCAATTAACTCAATTAGGAACAGTAACCGAACAGATCCGGTACCTGTAACGGTAGTCAGGTACCATCACGGTAGGGGGTACCATGACTAACGGTATAGGGTCCCGTGACACGTCCCGTTCAGAAGTTCAAATTTGAATTTCCTAAGCCTCAGGCGGTACATAGGTACCGTTAAGACGGTATAGGGCGGGTTCAAATTTGAATTTCCTAAGTTCAAATTTGAATTTCCTAAGTTCAAATTTGAATTTCCTAAACCTTACGATCGGTAAGGTTCCGTTTGAGTCCTTTGACACTTAAGCAAATTTTGGTTGGGCGGTACTTACCTCTTGTACCGAGTAGCTTAACAGTATCTAGGTACCGTTAGCACGTTATAGGGTACCGTTTGGTCTGGTTCTAACTCAACAGTGTCTTTATTCCCGATTTTGAAAAATGATCCAATCAAAGCAATGTTTAGAAACTTTTGAAAAATATTTTTAAGTGCAAGGGCATAAGTGTAACATTATTTTATCAACCTCTTACATTTTCAAATCTAAACTCGAGTAAATCGTTTCTTGGTGAAATCAATCAAGTTAGGAGAGGTTCGGGTGTCTTGTTTTGTCCTGTAAATGGTTAGTACTTTGAAGACTTATTTGGCACATCAAAACGTGGTGATTCATGGCATTCAAGGCCAACATTGGGTATGTCTTTGAATCTTCAAGGTTGAATTTCTTGACTAGTTCTTTGGCATACTTTGTTTGGCTAATAAAGATGCCATCTTCATGTTGCTTAATTTGAAGTCCAAGGAAGAAACTCAACTCACCCATCATGCTCATTTCAAATTTGCTTGTCATAATTCCTGAAAATTCATTACATAAAGCTTTATTAGGTGACCCAAAAATCATATCATCAACATAAATTTGCACAATGATAAGATCTTTTCCTTTTGTTTTGAAAAAAAGTGTGGAATCAATCTTTCCTTTTGCAAATCCATGTAAGATGAGATGTTCGGTGAGTCGCTCATACCAAGCTCTTGGATCTTGTTTGAGTCCATAAAGGGCCTTACGAAATTTAAAAACGTAATTTGGAAAATCAAGATTTTCCAAATTGGGAGGTTGTTCAACCTAAACATCTTCTTTCAACCACCCATTTAGAAAAGCACTTTTTACACCCATTTGAAATAGTTTGAAGTTAAGAGAACTTCCAAAAGCTAATAACATGTGAATAGATTCAAGCCTCGCAACCGGAGCAAAAGTTTCAGCATAGTCAAGTCCTTCAACTTGGATATGTCCTTTAGCAACAAGTCAACTTTTATTGGTGATAATAACACCATTTTCATCAAGCTTGTTTCTAAAGACCCATTTAGTGCCCACAACGGGTCGGTTTTCTGGTCTTTCGACTAGTTCTCAAACCTTGTTGCATTCAAATTGCTCAAGCTCTAGTTGCATGGATATAATCCAATCACTATCTTTCAGTGCATCTTCTATGTTCTTAGGTTCAAATTGGCTAACGAACGCATAGTGTGCACAAAGATTGTAATTGTTCCTAGTTCTAACTCCCTTTTCAATAACTCCAATGATATTGTTTCTTGGATGATTCTTCAAGTGCTTGTATTCCTTTGGAAGTTCCTTTTCTTCATTTTCCTCTTCTTGTGCAGGAATTTCCAGGGATTCTTCCTCCTCTTCTTCTTCATTAGAATCTGCAATTACCTTTCTCGACCCAAAGGGATCTGTCTCATCAAATTTTACATGCATAGATTCTTCTAAATTATAATTTGATTTATTATATACCCTATAGGCTCTACTATTTTTTGAATATCCAAGGAAGATTCCTTCATTTGATTTAGGCTCAATTTGCCTAAGTGATCATGTATTCAAGATATAGCATTTACAACCAAACAACAAGAACAGCAACCCAGTTAAATCCCACAAGAGTGGGGTCTGGGGAGGGTGTGTGTACGCAGACCTTACCCCTACTCGAAAGTAGAGAGGCTGTTTTCAAAGAGACCCCCGGCTCAACGTCGAAAGTTGCATTGCTTGACTAACTGCTACTTCATTAATTAAAGAAGCGCAGACAGTTTAGAGATCCATTTTGATTTATTCCATCACACCCAAAGCCAAAAAATGGTGAAATTTTGGCTCCATCGGAGATGATGGAAATAGCATTTACAACCAAAAAATTTGAAATAGGCAATGTTTGCTTTTCTACCTTTCCAAAGTTCATAAGGGGGTTTTCTTATAATAGGTCTAAGTAATACCCCGTTTAGAACGTAGCATGCCGTGTTAACCGCTTCTCCCCAAAAGTATTGAGGCAAGTTCTGCTCTTTTAGCATGGTCCTTGACATCTCTTGCAATGTTCTATTATTCCTTTCAACAACTCCGTTTTGTTGAGGTGTTCTTGGAGCCAAGAAGTTGTGAGAAATACCACGTTCATCACAATATGTTTCAAAGTTGGTATTTCGGTATTCTCCACCTCTATCACTCCTAATGGATGTTATAGTATGGCCTTTCTCGTTTTGGATTTTCTTGCACAATTTAACAAATGCATTAAAAGCATCATCTTTATTGGAAAGTAATATAGTACAAGTATAATGAGAAAAATCATCTAGCATGACAAAAGTAAAATTAGCTCCACCCAAGCTTTGAACATCTACGGACCCAAATAAATTCATATGCAATGGTTCAAGTGGCCTTGTTGTTAAAACTATTTTAATGGGTTTAAATGATGCTTTATGTTGTTTTCCGAGAGAGCATGCATCACAAAAACGAGAAAGGGGTATGTTCATCTTTGGTAGCCCAACAATAAGTTCTTTTGAGTAAAGTTTTCTCAAAAGATCATAACTAGCATGTCCTAGTCTACGATGTCATAATGTTGAAAATTCAAGCGAAGTAGTAAGACAAGTGATTCTTGAGTTGCTCAAATCATTGGAATTGAACTTGTATAAGTTTCCATCTGTTTTAGCCTCAAAGATGATTTGATCTTTGTTTTGGCCATATAAAACGCAGGAATTTGCATTAAACTCAATTTTGTGGCCATTGTCACAAAGTTGGATTATGCTAATTAAATTAAACTTTAGGCCATCAACAAGATAAACATCATTTATTAAAAAATCACTTGAAATACCTATCGTACCTTTACCGATGACCTTCTTCCGGGATTTGTCTCCAAGAGTTACATGTCCATGGCTTTTCTCCTTGAGATTTGTAAACCACACTCTTATTCCGGTCATGTGCCTTGAACGCCCACTATCCACAACTCAAGTGGTGTTTTTCACCTAGTCAAAGAGGAATTTACTTTTGACTTAGGTTTGGGGTTCCAATCGACAAATACCCTATGTCAATATACTGGTTTTGTCTTCGTTTGTTCCGGAAGTCGTATATGGACTTTTCGTTTTTCATTATTATAAAAGAAATAATATCCACCATCATTTCTTTTATTTTTCTGAAAAAAGGGTTTCTTTTGACATCAAATATTCTTGGATTCCGAACAGTTAGAACCCTTCTTGACCCATTTTAGTTTATGCATTTCAACTAACCATTTATTAGGACACTTTGTCACAATATGGTTAGTTTGCATGCAATAATGACAAGTTTTACTTTTGATTTAGAGGTTGAGGCTTTGTTTGATGGAATAGTTTTTGAGGTATTAAAATGGTTCTTAGCCATACTCATTAAACTTGTAAATTGGGTTTCAAAAGTAGTGAATGTGTTTTGGGAACTTACCTCTTCTTCATCGTTTGAAGCTATGAAGCAAGCATTTGCGTTTTCTTCTTGGCTTTGGTTTCTATCACTTTCGTCCGAGTTTAAATAATCCCAAGTGACCTTGAATGCCTTCCTCTTCCCCTTTTTAAGCTCATTCTTCTTTTTGAGCTTTGGGCATTCCAGTTTAATGTTCTCTACATTTCCACATTCATAACAAGTTATTAGATTAGATTTACATTTCTTCGGTGGAAATATCTTTGAGGATTTTCCCTTGTTCCATTTCATGAACTTCTTGTATCTTTTGAACATGGA